TTTCCAATTTCTTTTTTTTTTTTCTCGAAAAAAATTTAGTAGAACTATATAAATAGAGCACTCTTTTTTTTCATTAATTTGGAGAAATAATTTTTAGATTATATATTCCCACTTTTTAAAAAAGGAATTATTCTCTGTAAAAATCATCTGACAAACATGAAGAAGTTATATTTAACGGTTATTATTATATCTTTCTTCAGAGAATACTTTTGCCTTTTTTAAGCAAAATTGAATAAAAAAAATATTAAATTGTTTTTCAAGTTTTTTTTTTTTGTTTTCATTTCTTAAAAAAAATTTTATACTTGAAAAATTTATTGAGAAAAAAATTCCCGTAAAAGCAATGTTTTTTCTTTTTTTGAAAAAGAGTTTTTTATTATATTTTAATAATTTTTTACCAAATTTAACAAAAAAATTTCCATCAAACTTTTTTTATATAATTTCGGGTTGGGGTTTTGTGAAACAAGAACTATTGAAATAAGTTTACCAATTCTTATTTTAATGGTGTTTACTCATAAGAAACTATTTATTCAAACAGTGAAAAACCTTTTCCTTTTTTTCCAAATAATGTAAAAAAATATTCTTTTTAAGCGATGGGTTTAATGTTTTGTTGATATTTTTTTCTCTCTTTCAAATAGGGCTGTGTATTGGCAATAACCATTTCAGAACCCAATACCTTTTGCTGGTATCACTTTTAGTGTCCCCCTATAGGTTGCCCTTGCCAATGGGATTTTGACGCCCAGCTTCCTCCCTACATAGAGGCACTGGACCCCTTGACGATCCAAAATTGTACCTGGAATTTAATCTTGCAGAAAGCACCCAAGCCAAATAGACACTGTAGGAATATTAGATTTTTGGCATTGGTAATGTGTGGGCATAGTTTTTAGAATGTGTGTACATTCTACTTTGGTTACACATATCTTTTGGTTATTCTGATGTGGTCTTGCTGAATAAACCATGTAAAATTATAAATGTATTAATAAACTGCTAATGTTTTAGAAGGACTTTTCTTAAATAAATCATTTAGAATTCAAAGATACCGTTTACTTTCTTAATTTTTTTGCTTATTAAAATGGTTTTCAAAAAATTTTTCTTCAAAAATTGAAAAAAAAGTTCAAAATCGCCCCTCATCGGAGCCCAATTTTTATTATCAATTATTTTTCTTTTACTTCATTTCTTTTTTTTTTAATGCGAAAAAATTACTCCATTTATTGAAGAAACTTATGTACTTTAAGAAAAACCTTACAAATATCGATAGGGTGATTTTTTTTTTTCCTTTTCTTATTTTAAATTCCAAAGTCTCATTATAAAATTTTGATGCAAAACAACAACCGTTTTAAAATAAACGAAACTTTTACTGGTTTTAATGACTTCCTTCAATTTCTTTCTTGGGAGTAACACTAACTGGTAATATTTTAAATACTAATGAGCATATGGAGAGATCTTACGAAAGACATTGAACTGTTTTTATTTATGCACAAATTCCTAGTTTTCAAAAGTACTTTAATTACAAAATGCAAAAATAGCGCTTCTACGCATTTTTACAAATAATCGCTTTAGCATTTCTATCAAATTATTCTTTGTTTTTATTATCTCTCTTTCTATCGTTTTCTCAGGGAGGAATCATTCTCGCACTTTTATATAAGTGTTTTTCTCTCATTATAAATAATTCCAATACTTTAGTTCTTTTTACTCATTTAATATCTTCCTAGTTTGGTTGGTAGATATAATCACGGCTTTCACATTTTAAGAGTAAGGTTGAAGAATACAAGTAGACAAGTAATCCCAAGAGATCTTCCATAATCCAATTCTTGCAATAGTAAAAATTTAAACGTATGCATTGTTTTTCACTGTTCATAATTTAATTACGCTTCGTTTTCTTAGACGATATCTTTTTACTCTGTGTCTGATTTTTATTTTTAAACTAATAATAATTTGAATATAGTAACGTTAACTACTTTCCCCTAACTATAAATTTGTATTTATATATATAGGGGAGGGATTATGTAATTCAATTTTTATAAGATTGAATAAAACTAAAGAGTAAAAAAAAAACATTCTTAAGATCTAGCACTCATCAGAATGATTTTTCCTTCCTTCCAATTTTATATCCACTCATTCCGAGTTTCTCAGCAATTACATTATTGTAATATCCTGAACCAGTTTTTTATAAATTCTGTAAAGATAAAATTTGTATATAATGTACATAAAATTAGTATAACATTTGTATTATAGCATCCCAAGCAGTATGGTGGCTGTGTGACGCTCGGCCTGTAAACTAATGAGCTCTCGGGTTCAATCCAATAAGTCATGGATGATCTTAGGAAAAAGTTTAGATTTTTCGCATGAGGATCATTCTCATTGTAAAGCATCTCACCCTATTTGTTCTATGCTGGGATGATCGTTTGTAATAAAGTCTATATTCTTCTGTGATTGTATTATAAGTTTCTGTCCATCTATCTTTCGTATGTATTCTGGGATGAAATGCACACAACATTTGTATCATATGCGCATAAAGTTAACTTAGCATTTACATTATATGTAGATATCTCATTTTCTTATTTTTTATCTAGTTATGTCATTACCAGTTTTCAGTTAATTATTGCAATGCAATCTTACTTTTAATTGAAAATTATCTATATGATGTTAGTAGAAGTTGTTTACAGAGTTAACTGGTTAATATACTGTTAGGGATAAAAGGCGTCGACTGATAACGTTATACCGATGCTTGTTTTACATTGGATTAGTTTTATATATTAAAACAGCGTTTCTCAAACTGTGGGGCGAGCCCCCCTAAGGGGCTTGATAACCTTACAAGGGGGGGCACGAGTATATCGAAAAGTCCAAAATAAACATTAGTTAAAAAATTATCAATTTACTGAAAGGAAGCAAAAATAATAATTATAATAATATTACATTCCGACATAATAAAATGTAAAATACCCATATACACTGATATAATACACTTATAAATGTATCAGTACTGCACCATGTATTTCCTAATTAATTTAACAGTACTAAGTCAAGAACAAGTTTAATAATTACCAGTGACTCTATGGGCCGACCTAAACTTATATCAAAATTTTAAAACTTATCTTCAAAATTTGTACGGTTTATAATTAAAGTCGTATTGTAGATTTACATCAAAATTGTATGTAAGGGGGGCGCGATGAAAATTATGATTGAAAATTGGGTCGCGAGTTTAGAAAGTTAGAGAAGCAGTGTATTAAAATGATGCCACTTGAGATTTGTAACTATGGTCTATCTACGAGGTCTATCCTCTCGAGCTCAGGTTTTCTTCCTTCCAGCCAAATTGGCACTTTAAGCTATAACAACATCCCCATCGTAATTTGATCGTCACTACCGAAGAGTATATAAATAGTCAGTAAGATTATATATTATAAATTATTATTAATAGAACAGTAGATGTTGATGGTAGATATAACCAAATGAATTAGTTCCTGCATTATAGTTCCTTAGCTATTTAAAAGTTACAAGATCTAGGGGGATTTTTCTTTTGGATTTCATTTAATCTCATTTAATAATTTTATCAAAATTTTGGGTTTTAATTTATTCTTAATAATTTTCATTTAAGTTTAAAATGTATAAAGGAATAATTACTAGGAAAAAAACCTGATTTAAATCATTTTGTTTCCGATTTAATTGCGCTTCTGTTCAAATTGTGTTCGGATACCCCGAGAAACCCAATGATCAGCGAGACCTCTTCTTCAACCAACATGAGGAGTAAGTAGCATGACGGTTTTTGAGCCTGACATTCATGTATCGAATGTGTAAAAGCCACTTTATTTAATTTTAAACAATACTCAACTGCTACCTAAAACTTCATGTCAAAATCGCAGTTTCACCTGCAGGTTGCCGGGGCTAGTTTGTAGTTTTAAAATGTTAAATTAAAGGGAAAAAACAAGGAATGGAAAGCAGAAAGCGTAACATTATTGAAAACAAATCCATTTCAATATTATTGCCCTTAAAAGATGAATAAGGAATCTTTCTTTTGAAAGACCCTTTGGGGGTTTAAAAAGTAATGGGAACGAGAACTTAATTTATGACTAATAAAAAATTTTAAAACGAGGAACTTATTTTTTAAATCGTTGAACATTTTCCATTAAAACCGTAAATTACATTCAATTTACATTGCTTAAAAATAAAATTGGTTTTGGCAACAAAACAGAGGAACCATTTTAAAAGCTCTTGAAAATTATAAAATGGTTTTTCATTTTTAGATAGGTTTTTTAAAAAAAGAGGGAAAAATAATTTTTATTTTCTTAAAGAAGCCATTTTCAAAGAAAAGGAGGAAAAATAAATTTCGAAAAAAGTTAAAAAAATGTTTTGAATTTTTAGATGGGGTTTTTTTTTTTCCTCTTTAATCTTTAACCAAAATGTTGCTTTACATTCTTGCGGTTTTTTTACGGATGAAAAAAAAAGATAAATATTTCTCTCTCATGCATATATTATATTTAAATTTCTAACATAAACATAATACGCTGACAATGATGATAATTTGGGTTCAGGAGGCGTCTAAGCAGTTCACTTGGAAAAAAAGGAACAATTATAGATAATATCATAAAGGCATGTACTGTGTAAATTTTAAGCCCTTACGAAATCCTTAACTTTGAATAGAAAAAGTATTGTATAATATATTATGAAAATCAGAAATTACATTTATTTTTTTTACTTCTGTTGCTTATTTTCAATACAACAAGTAATATAAAAAAATTAAGTCAATTCCTACTTAGGTCAACAAAGAAAATTTTTATTTTAGTTTCGTTTTATTAAATAATTACAATTAATATAAATATGTATATACATATAACAAAATCACAATATTAAGTGGCAAAATAGAAAGTGATTTTTTCTTCAATTTTTTCCCTTTTCTTTCTATTAGTATTGACTATTATTTTGTTTACTATTTATTCGTTAAATAAATTTAATTATTCCAATAAAATAGTAAAGTAAAAAAGAAACATCATTCTTAGAACTTAAACCATCCCAGGTGGGATTCGAATCCACAACCTTTGGATTAGAAGTCCAATGTGCCCTCTATTGCGCTACAGGGACACAACGAGTGATTTTCCTTTTTATATAGAGTGTTAGACTACTTTTTTGGTTTTTACTATTTATTCTTTGATGCAACTTAATTGATGAATTAATAATTGAAAAAACTGTAAAACGGTATCAAGTGTTATCCACTACAAAAATTTTAAAAAAAATTTTCCTTTGAATTCAGGGGTGAATAAAGAATTTTTTAACAATTGAAAATTTTGAACAAGATTAAATATATATATAATTAATTGGAATTAATAATATTGGGGACGGGAGCTTAGGTATAACTATATAACGTCTGGGGATTTTTTTTGGGGGGCCTAAGCATCCTTTAAAACCCAAAAGGGGGGACCGTGTTTAGCCAAATTAAAAGGGAAACTATTACGGAAGTCACTTCCAGGAAAAAGCTTTAAATGAGATAATATAAAGGATGCATAACTAAGTAAATAGAAAATTAAAAAGAAGTTTTAAATTCTGGATTCTAAAGTGCCCTTTTAATTTGTCAAAATCCCAGACAGTGGGTTTATTAAAAACAAAACCCGAAAAAGGTTTTTTTGACGGGTTTTGGGATCCTTCCTTTTGACCGGGGAAATAAAAGGGAAGCAGGATCATCAAATATAAGGATAGGGGGAACTAAAATTGAATTGGGAATTAATAAAAATTAGAAATTTTTGGTGTGTTAATTCGCTAATTATTTAATCTTTCGTCACTCACCGATAATATCCTCCAGGGGGGAAATAAAATTAGTTTTGTATTAATATAAATTAAGATCAAACCCCAAACAAATTTAATACTTGTGAGTTTAGTGGTGCATCCTTCCTTCCCTTAGGTGTAGGTCGCGTGGATAGTGGAGAGAGGGTAACCCCGACAGAGGGGGATGCCACAATATATAGGGAGAGAGTGAACTAATAGTAGAAATTGAAAAAAGTAGTTCAATAAAAAATCGTGTAGCAATGTATATATAAATGGCATGTGTTATCGCTTAACTAATTTAATCCCATCCGATCGAGGCTCACGAAATTCATCGTAGCAAGAGGGAGGAGCCTAAATTACGTCACTCATTAGAAATAGCTTTAAATATACAGGTGACAGTACAATTTTACTTTCCAACACAATTTTAAGGAACAACATCTCGTGGGGTGATACGGGGATCTCCCACCTCTCATCCTCTACCATCAATATCTCAAGAGGGCTTTCGGTTTGACAAATATTTAGTGTCCCAATGCCACACGGGCATGATACATTTACAAACATCTATACCTTCTTTGGGATTCAGCACAGCATTCACTATCACTAACCAGTACCCCGTTTAGTTGGCGCTTAAAAATTAATAAATAAGATTTACAGATCCTAAGATCATAATAAGCATCAAATAAAAACATAAAATTATACTTTCGTTATATTAAAATTAGCCAAAATATGTACCGATATTACATTCTGATGAAATATTCTAGCAATATTTACGACTTTGAAATATTAATAATTTTGAAACATCTACATACACGTAATCTATGTTTAATTTGGAAAGTTGGATATAATTTGAATGCACTACCATCAATCAAAGCACACATCATGTAATGTTATAAGTAACCTTGACCTATAGGGAGGGAAGAGGGTCCGGATCATTTAAGGTGCTCACACAAGTCTGCATCTATGTGCAATTCGCATCTTTTTCTAACAAAGAGAGATCAAGGTCTTGGAGTCACAAATTTGGTTCAAATTTTGTAGGATGGTGGATTTAAGGCCGTATTACACGTATATTTTTCATGCAATTTTTTCGTCCAATTTTTGGCTGAATCTGAGGGGGAAGGGTTGCCGTAAACAAAACGACATGCTCTGACGTCCTCCGCGCTCTATCTCCACATTGAAAAATTACTCACCGATTTTTCTGCTTCGGAAAATGAACATCCAAAAATATTTCTTTCATTTCGCTTGAGCTTTTGTTGATGGGTGTAAGCAGAAAGAGAGCACCATTCTATTTAAAATATTATACGCTGTTAAAATATTATGCACCATTAAAATATTATACGGCATATCTGAAGTGTTAGACGAAACAGAAGCCGCCATCTTGTTTATGACGTAGGGCGTCGAAGAACCCCATTAGCTGGAATTTCAAGCAATTTTTATTTGAAACAACTTTTTGAACTCGCTAGCAAAAAATTGTTCTAAAGCGGTCGCTATGGCAACTGAGTAAAAATTGCACGTATTGGACTAAAAATTGCTCGAAACGTGTACGTGTGATATGGCCTTTAGTTTTCCTGTTTGATGAAGATATATGTTAATAGGGGCTAATATTCATTAATTTTATATATATGCATTGAAGATGCAATTCACTTGAAATACAAAGCAGCAAATACCTATGCAAAAGTACTTAATTAATTCGATTGAAATGCTTTTTGAAGTTATGTTTCATTTGCTTTTATGACAAGTATCTCCCTTGTACGGACAATGAGGAAGAAGCTAGTCATATTTTTATAAAAACACAGTTAATCTGATAAATGTTTTATTATTTTCTAGTTGATTAACTACCAGTAAAAGGGCTTTTCTCATGTTCTTCTTGCAAAATGCTTTTATTGCTTTGTAATAAATATTTTATTCGTATATTGATATATTGACAAATTCATAATAATGAAAAATATAAAACTCTTATAAGGTTTCTAGTCATTAAAGACGTTTCATTTCCAATTCATTTAAACTCCATTATGTATCTCTATATGTAAAAATAGAATAAATAAAGAATTATACAACCTCCACCGACTCTAACCCGGCTTCTATAAAACGACGAGGAACACTGATCCCTCTCTTTTGCTACTACATTAAACCCATTACGTGTAATCGTTTGCTGCAGAACTGAATTTAACGAGTGAATTGCATCTTCAATTGCACATATCTACAAAATTATTCAGCAGTTACGACCATATATTTTCAACAACAGGTAACTAAATCTACCATCATACAAAATTTGAAGTAAATCGGTGACCCCAAGACATTGCCCTCTCCTATTAAGAATATCTTATTCCTGTTCCCTTTTCACTGTCACACAATGATGTGTGTGTGTGTGTGTGTGTGTGTGTGTGTTTGTGTGTGTGTGTGTGTGTGTGTGTGTGTGTGTGTGTGTGTGTGTGTGTGTGTGTGTGTGTGTGTGTGTGTGTGTGTGTGTGTGTGTGTGTGTGTGTGTGTGTGTGTGTGTGTGTGTGTGTGTGTGTGTGTGTGTGTGTGTGTGTGTGTGTGTGTGTGTGTGTGTGTGTGTGTGTGTGTGTGTGTGTGTGTGTGTGTGTGTGTTTGATGTTCCAATTCTTAACACCATTTCGCGTGGGATCTTAGCGTAGAAGGTTGGGTTGCTATATTCGGTATTCAAGGTTTTTATTTTTACATGTAAGTTTTTATCCTAATTTTTTCTAATGAATTTTTTATTATTCCTCTCCTTGAGAGATACATTATTGTTCTCTTTTCATAATTTCATTTTACTATATTGTCAGGTTTATCATCCACGTGTTAGAAATAGGCTTAACTTTTCAACATGGCTCTAATTTTCTTTTTATATTATGTCGAAAATTTCTGCTGTACGGGGAAGGTGGATCCATAAAGCATTGCTTAAACCTAAATCGCTGGCTTAATTCAGCGACAGCTTTAGAAATCATAATAGGTCTCCAGTTTAGCCCAAAGACTTTTTTGTATCTACATTTGTTGTGTCTCTGAACTTCAATTTCTTTCTTCTTTGGCATCGTAGGTTTTAGAACTTTTTCACTTTTATTTTTTATATATATATATATATATATATATATATATATTCTTATGAAAAACATGTAAATATATTTACTGGGACTAATAATTGGTACGAAATTTTTAATTTAGTAATAAAATTATAAAATTTAGTTATTTAAATTTAGATTAGTGTATCAAAATACCTCAAAAAATTGAATTTTTAATATGCAATTAAAATTATTTTTAGATACTCATTTGTGCAATTATGAAACACTTCAGTGTTTCTAATTTTTATCTAAGTAATAAAAATGTATATCAGAGTAATAATAGTTTCTCATTTTTTTCTTTATTTTTTAAGAATATTACGGAACGACAAATGTTAGAGCTGCACGTAACTTCAGTAATTCCCTTATTAAAGCACAACATTAATTAGGAGAACCTATTCGATGCACTTTTCTTCATCCCAAAGTTTTTTCAATTGAAGAAGATAATAGATTGCTTTAATTCTATGCATTTTTCAGATTTTCATTATGAGCAAACCTTTACATAGATGACTCTTTCTTGTCTCATTAAGAAGCAAATTACCATAGATGTGAATATTAATGTCACACTTAATGAAAAGGTTCTAAAAATAAACAAATAATCAACAGCATGCATATTTTCTAAGTATATATGATAATTGATTTTTGTACGTTAATGTCTTCTTTCGGGAGATGAAGTTTATTTTACAGCGTAAAGAAATGGATGTGTACTTTTTTCAAGTGCGAGCGGATTTTCTGACAATATTTAGAAACGCTTTTAATTTAAGTGCAACTGACGATAAATATTTTGAAATGATTAATATTCAGCAGCCTTTTTATTACGTTATAAGTGGTACGAATGTAGACAATATATTCAATAACTTTTGTTCTTTAAAGGTCCTAGGAAACTGAACTAATGAATAGTTGATGAATAATTTAAAGGGACAAGAACAAACAATACAATATAACAACCTGAATATATATATAATATCATCACAATGAATTTTATACTATTATAATATTTATTTGAAAATATTATTTACTGTTTTTTTTTCAACTTGATAGTAAATATGCTTTGAGTATTTAATATAAGCACAGTGTTTACAATGCAATATTTAAGCTTCATCTGCCGGGGAATGTCATTACTTAAAAAACTGGTATCAATACCCAGATAAAAAAAAGAAACTTTAAAATTTGTTCCTTGGGCTTAAAAATTTAAGAAATATATCAAAACATTATTCAAATTAGATTAAAAATTTGAGAAAAATGTGAATAATAAATTATTGTTCA